CCGGGTCCCGCTCGCCCCTCCTCCCCGCTCCCCCGCCCGCCGCCGCCCGGGCGCATGCGCTGCCGGAGCGCGAGGGTCGGCTTCGGGTGTGTGGTGGCGGCAGAGCGGAGCTGCGAGGCCCGAGAGTCAGAACCTGGGGGAGAGGGATGGTCTCTGCACGGGGGGGAGCCGGAGGAGCCGCCGCCGCTGCCGACGCCACCGCCGCAGCCGCCGCCGCCGCCGCCTCGGCGCCCGCCTCCCGGCGCTGACGGGCTCGTACGAAGCCGGCGAGGGAGAACCCGCACCAGCGGTCGCCGGCACACCGCCCAGCATGGTCCGAGAAACCAGGCACCTCTGGGTGGGCAACTTACCGGAGAATGTGCGGGAAGAGAAGATCATCGAGCATTTCAAACGGTGAGTGACACGCGGCCCGGGGCCGCGCTCTCTCCTCGGGCGCTGCTGCCCGTCCGGCCCGTTGCCGGCCCCTCCCCGTGCGCGGAACTGCTGAGGGGACCCGGACCAGACCCACGGACGGGAGCGGGGGGTGCGCGGCTGTCTGGCCGCCGCTCGGCCCGCGTCGTGGCGTTGGGCCTCGGCGGAGCGGCCCCGGCTGCCGCCCTCTCCCGCCCCAGCGAGGAGGAGGTTATCGCCCGGCCTCCGCGGAGCCGGCGCCGGGAGGGTGTCCTCAAGCCGGCCAGGAGTGGGGTTGCGTCCTTGCGCCCCGCTGCCCCGGACCCCCATCCCGGCGCGGCCAACTCCGGAGTCCCGCCGCAACTCCTCGCCCTGCCGACGCTTTGGAAATGTCTAACCGAGGGAGGGGTTTGTGCGACAGGAGAGGTTTTACCCAGACACAAGTCTCGGTAGGTGGTGTAGGAGCAGCTCCGAACTGGGGAGACAACTACGAGGTTCTAGGCACCTCTCACGAACGGCTTACAGACCTAGAAACTACAGGGAAATGGCAAGCTCACATTTTCTCTCTCTTTAAATTACTATTTTTTTTTTCGGGGTTGGCTAGCGAGTATGGTGTCTGTAAATAAGTTGGTGCGCCTGTTTCGGCTCTTTCGCCTTCCTGGCCGCCTTCAGCCCTCTGGGGTCCTTGGGTGAGGAGGGTGGTGAGGACCGAGGGCTTTCAGTGGAAGACCCACCGCAGGTAGGACGGTGCCCAGCTGGCGTAGGAGCCCGAGAGCCCCGGGATTTCTACCTCCGCGGCCGCGCCGGCTTAGCACTGAGGGGCCGCCTTTGGAAGAACGGTGATTCCCTCCCGCCCAGAGTTCTTTAATCGGTCGTTAGAAGAATGCAAATCTTTTAAGATCAGGAGATAACAGCTTTTTAAAACTTCCCAGAATATTTTTTGTCAGTGAAATGTGGGGATCACTGTTGTTTTTGATACATCTTACACAGTAGCATTTAAGCGCTTGCTTGCTTTGTGGAACGTATGTGTGCCGTAACGGATAGGGTCCTCGGTATAAAATACTGAAAGTGACGATTTGCTGAAGATGGGTGCAAATTGTGAAGGACTGTAGCAAATCTGTGATCGTCCTCGAAAATTACTGTTTCTTCCGATATTCAAGACCCTGAAAGATTTTAAGTGTGGTTTACTAATTCCTCTTACTATCTAGTGAGTGAAGGAAATTATGGAGCGCCCTTATTAGTGAGTCACCATGGGAAAAATAGATTGCGTCGCTTGTTCCTGAGCAGCTTGGATAGGGAAATGGAAGCAGAGGCAGCAGAGCTCCACTCTTTTAAATGGAGGATCATTGATTCTGTTGGTGGTTGCTGTTACTGGGGTATTAAATCTTCACTGCTGGAGCGCGCGTCTGCGCGTGTCCGCGTGTGAAAAGGAGCCGGCAATAGTGAGGCCATTCATAACCTGCTAAAGCTGTCCTCGGCAGGGCTGGGGGAGGCGCGCTTCCAGGGACTCTCCCGGTGTTTACTACGTTGTGCTGAGAAACCAGGCTAGGGCAGGCAGGGAGCAAAAACTCGCCTCTATCCCCAGTGATAAAGGAGAGCGAGACCCTGGTGCTCAGTTGGGAAGCAGATGGGAACTTTCTCTCCCTGGCGCTGCTCCACCCTTTACCTCCACCCACAGCCACAGTATCTTCAGTGCTTTGGTGGGAAAGTCACTTAGGTGCAGATTATTGGAGTGGAAAAGCCACTTACGTGTGCTCACTTTTAACTCCTTGTGGACTTTCTCTGTAGGTCTCTGCCTGGGAAATTCGTCTGTACCGACATGCAAACACGTGCATTGCAGCATTCGCTTTTCCCCTCAGTGTTTTGTGGCCAGACGTGTCATTTCGCATTATGCACATTCCAGAGACATTGCATGCCTATTGCAGGGAGTTTGACTCCTCTGAAGATGAGGGGTGAGGGAAAGGAAAGAGGAGATAGTCCAAGGGAGTTTTGGGAGGTTTTTAAGTGGATGATGCTGCCGTCCGGCTTGTGTGAATGACTTTCTAAAATGGCGGCCAGGACCCACTTTATGTGGGAATCAGCAGAGCAGATCTCAGAATGCACAGAGGGAGGAGGGGGCGGAGGATGCGAGCTGCCTTCGAAAGCGGAGATCTGGAGGAACGTTACTGTATTAAAGAGGGCTTAGCGGGCACATTGCTCACGACTGCGTTTAAAGGGGTATTTCACGTATTGCAGAGCACAAGCAGATGCTACTGATTAAAGCAGATTATTTTAAAACTAAGCAGACCGCGTGTCCATGAAACTCCTTTCTTTTGATTTTTAAAAAATTTAAACAGGCGTCCTTAGCCCTTTGAAAAGGCAGTGCATTCTTACGGGTTTAAAGAGTGTAAAGGGTTTACAGAGAAAAATCTCCCCTTCACCCCTGACCTCGGGATTCCCAGTTTCCATCCCCCACTTCCCACCCGATCCCTGGGACAGGTAATCTCTATTTATGGTTTCTTGCTTATTCTTAAATATGTATAAGAAATGTTTTCGCTTTTCCAGCTGTGGAGCTAAATGGACCCTGTTTGGAGGAATTCAAAGTCTTTTATCCCTACTGTAGAAAATGTTCTGTAAAATGTGTGATTGCTATGGGGAGGAAAATGAAATTTGAGTAATTAAGTGAAAGGGATCAAAAGGTAGTTGTACCAGACTGATAGTTCTGCAAGAAAATGTAGATATTCACTTTTAGTGTTTTCTAGAAATCAAAATGAGAGAAACTCTCTAATACCTTTTACCAGCTCTTATCCTTTTCCCTAGTTAATTACAACATTAAGTAATAACTGTTTTACAGGATTAAGAGGTGTATATTGGGAATACATTACATAAAACGTTTTCAAAATGATTATTCTTGTAACATGATTAGGCTTTCGTAAGTGTTTGGGGGTTTTTTTGTTTTTTGTTTTTTTTTTAAGATTAAACCAGACCGTTTTGGGAGCAGGGCAGCTTAGAGGGCACTTTTGTGTGTGTTTGGGGGGAGGGGTCAGAACCAAATCTTTTTTGTATTATTTACATTTTGAGCAGTGATTTTGGTGGAAAACAGATTGAGGGAAGGATGCTGCTTTGGCTTTTTTCCCTCTGTACCAAAGAAAGACCCAATCTTTAAAATGTAATCAGAGCATTTTCAAAATTTGGCTTTACCTTCTTGCAATAAGAATACATTTGTGTGTTCGTTGTCTTTACAGCTTTTAATATGCCGGTTGAAAAAAATTAAATGAGGACTATTTCTGAATCCCATTTTAGTTAACAAAGATCTATTGCAGGGACTGAATTTGCACAATAGAGAAAGTCCTTTCCTTTGTATGTTAGCTGGGTTGAAGGGGGAAGGGAGGAGTTACACAACAATTGGTTGCTGTCTTTTAGTTGTAAGAGAGAGAGGTGTGTGCAAAGACGATTCCCTGAATTAGAATCGAACGAATAGAGCCCTTTAAAGAATATAAAATTCTCTATCTTATTTGCCCATTTTAAGTAAATCACATATTCAGGTTCTTCCCATCCATCCCCAGTTTGAGAGAAAACGTTAAAGATTGTGCAGAGGTAGAGCAAGGTAGCTTATGTAAAAATTTTGTCAAAGAATGAGGCCCATTTAAAAATGTATTTTGGCTTTGCTAATTTTAAATGTCTTATTACAATGGTTTCGTGAGTTAAAATAGCTGGAATACATGTTACATGTATTTGGATATTTTACTTTGGGGACACAGTAAAAATATAGTGGAAGAATTTCCTTGTCTTGAGTATTCTATAACTAGAGGTATTTTTAGACTTCAAACAAATTTGACTCACCCTAGCCTTACATCATTGCTACATCGTTTCTTTTTTAGAGCCCGGCCAGTTTCTATGTAGAAACAGCTCTGGTTTTGAATGTTATAATTTCGATATTTATTTTTGTGATGGGCTTTTGTACATTTTAAAAATAAAATTTAGTTATCTTGAGAAATAGCATTAAAAATTAATACGGAATGCGTGAAATGTTGTATTTGATTTCCTAAGGAGGATGCCTCTGGCAGATTGGAGGAAAACAGGGCTCGGTGCCAGGAAGAATGGTGGTGTTTGACTTGTGGAGGGCACCGTTTTCCAACTATCGTGTAGATTCTTGATTGCTCAGGCATTGTATTGTTTGGTATGCTTATGAAGAGATTTCAGGCTTGATTTATGAGACACTTCTAATCCTGTGAGCGCTCATGCTTGGGGAAGATTTTTATAGAAGTTACAAAGATAGTGGTAATGTGTAAGTTTTTCCAAATAGTCTTCTAAGTCTCACTTTCTCCTTACTTTGAAAAAAAAAATTTTTTTTTTTTAAGATTTTATTTATTTGACACACAGAGAGAGACAGTGAGAGAGGGAACACAAGCAGGGGAAGTGGCAGAGAGAGAAGCAGGCTTCCGCGGAGCAGGGAGCCTGATGCGGGGGCTCAATCCCAGGACCCTGGGATCATGACCTGAGCCGAAGGCAGACGCTTAACGACTGAGCCACCCAGGCACCCCTGAAATTTTGCTTAAATTTAAAAAAATGTTTGAAATAGTTCATGAAAACTAGTATATGCAATTGGAGATGATACATTTCTGTTTTTACTTATAAGAATCTGTGGTGTTTGAGCTGTAGTTAACTGGTCTATAGTATTTATTTATTTATTTATTTTTAAAGTACAGTGTGATTTTTTTTTTAATATTTTTTATTTATTTGACAGAGAGAGACACAGCGAAAGAGGGAACACAAGTAGAGGGAGAGGGAGAAGCAGGCCTCCTGCTGAGCAGGGAGCCCAGTGCGGGCTGGGCTCTATCCCAGGACCCTGGGATCATGACCTGAGCCACTTAACGACTGAGCCACCCAGGCACCCCTAGTCTGTAGTATTTAGAGTAAGCATTGTGGTCTGCAGATACCTTCAGTATATATATTTATTAAAATTGGGCTCCTGAATTTCCTTATTAGATGCTTTGTAATAAATGTTCAAGCCCTTGAAACAG